CAAGTTTATTACAATTAGCAGTTGACCAGGTATCAGAGTTTTTTGCCAGAGTGCAGCGTTCAGTTTATATCGACTATACTACTTTTGACACCACAGCAGATGAGAGGAGTCAAACCAGGGCAGAAGGCATCGATTCTCATGGCTCTCAAGGACCAAGACGATCAACTTCTGATGCTCCATCTAGATCCAGGAGAAGTCGACGACACCAGAATACTGAACGAGAACCACCAAGACATTCAATGCACATTCCATCGACCACCTATGACATGTCTGGGGCAAGACCATCCACACAACATTGGAGCCCATTAGTTGTACAAGAGAGCAGTGCACATGAAATATTTTATGGTACACCATCTCAACATCCCACAACACTCATTTTTTCCCATAGCAGTCCCAGAGTGGATGTCAAGTGTTGGGTTACCAACCTCCCCCTTACAGCAAGATATATTATTAATGGGAGGACAAATATCACAACAATACACTGATATGAGGCAACATCAACATGAACTCCTACCAAAAGATGAGGAATTTATTGAGGAAGAGCAACAGCTACAACGACGAAGAAGAAGGGCTCCAGATAGATATACTCCTAGTAGTAGGGCTCTTCCTCGTCATCGATAGATGATCTGTAATAATATTTTCTCTTACTTACGCTTACTATTTCATGTGTATGTGAATATTCGATGATCTGTAAGACAACTTAATAACTCTTATTTATGCTCTCTTATTTATGCTCACTAATTAACTATATAATTAATGAGTACACCAATTTTAGTTCACTATCTTACTCTACGTAAAATATAGTACTCAATACGTATTTGCATACCTGAGCTTAATATTTTTTCAAGTCAGTTCACAACATATTTTGCTCCATGCTACATAGGAATCCACATGTGAAGGAAGAACAACTTTATTATTACAAAATATACCTGAGATCAATGAAACAATGAGAGGCGCACCGACAGACCAACTAATAGAAGTACTCGTTTACATGAAAGTTTGACTTACAGCACAGATGAGATCCTAGAAGCAAAAGCGACAACAAATGAAATTTTAAGATGTCTTCTTCATACTTGGGGGGAAAACGAGGATGTTATCCTGTGGCAAGAAAATGATGATATTATGAAATTAAGGCAATATAAGTCTGGCTATGAACTTCGAGCGGCTGGCTGGAAATTGCTACAAGATAGATTTTGCGACATGAGCGGCCATCTGGTATCATTAATTTTTCTAAAGAGTCGTATTCGAGAACTGGGTCGTCACAAAGACGGTACAGTTGAGCAGGGAATGGGAATATCGATGTTTGATATGGATCACTGTATTTTATATCATTATTGGTGCCCTAAAGCAGATAATTGGCTCCTGGATAACTACAAAATGCTAATACAATGTTCTCAGGATGAAAGGAAAAGAAATTTTTGGGTGGCACAGATTGGAACCACCTTCAACACGGATTTATGTACCACTTCAAATGTTGTCCAACACAAACACAACTTCAAGCTCGTGTACGACATTTGCTTAGGAAATGACAAGGGTGTTCTTCGTGTTGTAATGTTGATGCTAAATATTTATGTTTCTAATTGTTAATCAACTTCTAATTTATTTTATTAATGTGACTCTAGTTCTTTAAATCATTTTTTTTATGTATTATTATTTTTCTAATGATAACTCAATTTGCATTTGCTAAATATTCAACACATAATGTCATCATCATCAAGGACTTCATCAATAAAGCGCTCACCATCAAGGGATTTCCTTCATATTATTCCAAGAAAGAAATTGATCTATGATGGTACTATTCGATTGACAGAATCTATGTCGTATCCTAAGGATGAATTCTTGGAGGAGAAAACAATATCAAATGAAATTTTCGATGTTGTTTACATGAATGGTGTTGGTATGAAGACGATAATTTATGGGATACATATCATGAAGTTATCAAAAGTCGTCATCCAATGTATATGGATGGAGAAACGATTACTAATATGAGCTGGAAATTTGTACAACAAAGGTTTAGGAATCATAATGGTCATTTTGCTCCTATAAGTATTCTTAGGACAAGAATTGGTGAAATCACACGGAAAAACAATGGTTCTGTTGTAGTCAATGTTGAGAATCCAATATATAACTGATGTGCAACATTGTATTCTTTATAAAAAGTGACATACTTATCAAGATGCATTTCTATCAGAAGAATATCAAGAGCTGAATATTATAGATGGTAAAAAGGAGTTCTTAAATATAAAAAATTGGCAATACATACAAAAGCAGTTCACAGAAAAATTCTTATGATGCCCAACTTTAACCCAACTCCAAGCGCGTATGCGCATAGTACTGAGCAAAATGTAATAATATTTTATTTACCTTTCTTCAATTCTTATCATATGTATTTCATTTTATTACTGAACTTATCCTGTATTTTCATGAATTTGTGTTAATTATTTTTCCCACTATTTCAATTCCAATTTTTCTATATAGAAGATGAATAAATTTAAATTTGTTTTGATTTTACAGGTTCATAGCACTTTAGCCATCATTATTCAATTTTTTATTTAATAATTAAAAAATATAACAATGATAACCAAATATAATTTATTAAAAAAATAAACATAAATTATCCAACTAAACTCTAAAATTATACCTACTTTAAAAGTTTAATTTTTTTTTAACTTTTCTTAAATAAATTATTTTTCTTTTTTTCTTTTTAATAATTTTTTTTTCTTTTCAATACCTAATTCTAACAATTAACAAAACTTTAATAGTGTAATTTAATATTATTAACATGTTTATAAATAACAAAAATAAATATTAACTAAATTATTTTAAATTTAAATATTAATACTTATGATAATATATATTACTTTGATTTCATATTTATATTTATATTTATTGATTATATTTATATTTCAATCTTTATCAATACACCTAATTATTATTGAAAAAACAAAAAAAAATACAAAAATTAATTATTTGCCAATCATTAAGACTAACCAAAATTAATTTTGACATAATAATTAATGAATCATTGAAAAATTCATTGAAAAATGATTTAAATTGTTTTCCCGATATATTGATTTAAAATTATTTGTCAATCACTCTCATCTCTCAAAACCTAAAAAATACATTCAGCACATTCTAAATAATGCGCCTGAGTATTCGGTAATCCACAAATAGTTGTACTATTTGCATAGATCTTTTATAAACTTTATTATAAAAAAATATATTATGTCTAATTTAACATCATATATTATAATTCAACTTATATTTCATTGAATATTTCTAATATGTTAAAAATAGATATATTAAAAAAAAATTTCCTATACCTTTATTACTTTTATTCATTCAAATTATTTTTGACATAACTATACATAAAAGGTTTTAGTATTAAGATGATATCATTTTTAAAAATTAATTGAAAAAAAATTACATTAATGATTACAAATTATCTAACCAAAATTATTTGCACTCAGGTAAAAACATATACATAAAAGTTTAAAAAATATACAATTTTTGAAGATCTCAACATATCATTCCTTCTAAATATAATATTTAATATACTAAAAAATTTTTGATTTTCCTAATTTATTCAGCAAACTCAAATGCCCAAAACCTCTAAACATTTTCACATACCCAACGTGGCAATCAAAAACATAAAACACACGGAAAGCCTCAACATATTTACATGAGGCCCTGAAATCCAGAAAAAACAAAGTTTCTATTTCACTTCTCTATCACGTGTGGGCCTGAATACGAGAAAAATCAAATCGCCTACAAGGAAAATTTATAAATGAGAGGAATACGCCGGCTGATAACGCGAATTCCATGTCAAATTGAAGAATACGCTTAATAAAATGGCGCATTCTATGAATGCGCCTACCATTCTGGCGCATTTGATGCTTCTTAAATTTTTTTAAAAATGTGCTCGTTCCACTAAATGACACAAAAGAAGCTTGTTTCGAAAATTTCGCCTAAAAAGTATCACTTCATTTATGTGAAATACATCTTAATGGGTTAATGATATCAACCATACAATTTAGACTTCAAAAATATGATACCTCAACTAAATTCAATCATCTGTCACTTCTTTTTTAATACATGAAAAAGGATTCATAAAATCGACTTCAAGTAGTAGGATAAAGACTTGATATTGTTGTTGTAGTATTTCAATTTTCTTACACTTTCTGGCATGATATATAAGTAAACCTGTCTTTACATTATATGAAATTGGAACATGATATACATATTTTATGTATATTCATAACTTTTATTCTGCATTCCAAGATATAAGTCATGCCATACATAAACTTATAAATATTCATTAATACCCATCTCATATTCTACCTAACCTTTGAATATAGTAGTAGAGCTATCTCTAATCAAAGTTAATAAACTTCAAACTTTAAGAAATGTGAATGCAATTCTAGATTCAAGTTTCTGACTAATAGTCCCAAAGGCCGCGAAACCTCATTTGATATCAAGAAGAAGATCATTTAACTTGTAGTAAAGGTGTTTTGGAGGATAGAACGATAATTCTCAATTAACAGTCAAAATTATCAGCCCAGTAATCCTTCAAATATGATAATAGTTGGGAATGAATGCGACTGCATGTTGCTAAAATCACCAAAATGGTAGGTTTAAAATAAGACCAATCAATATTGATACCGTAGTTCTGTTGGTTTAAAGAAGTTGGGTAGGTTCCAAAATAGATCCCTGGTGGTCTATGCTTGATAAATGAAAAGAAAGAACAAGGAACTCTTAAGAAATTCGACTTATAGGAAGTGACTAGTATTTCCCAAACGAAATAATCGAAGTCTTCATCCTTATACTAGTTAAACCAAATAAAGCTAACAAAACAACTATTTTAATTTAATAGTGCGAGATGTTTCCAAAATAAAAGTGATGCGGTCAAATGCTTCAATAAATACTTTTTATGAATGTAGATAACGCTATTCAAAATCAACATCCTCATACATGCCAATTGAAAAAAACTTGTCGCACACCTGCAGAAAGGTTCCATGTACCACACCTGGGACAAGAATATCCCAGCCCAATGAACCTAGTGTAGTCTTTAATGCTTTCAGAAGTAAGGTACAAAGTTTTGAAACCTGGAATATAACGCTACAAAATAAATTCCAATCAAATTACATAGGAAGTTATAAATAATAATATTAAAGAGAAAAGGCATACGCATATGATAGTCCTTTAGGAGGGAAGATCAACTTGATATTTAAAAATGAATTAAGAAGCATTACCCTGAACGTATTTCAGCTTCAGTGTATGTTCTCACACTGTTCAGTGGAATTCCAAGTGCTTGCCCTAACCTCTGCAAGCTCAAGAATAGCAGATGATTATCTCAACAGTTTTAACATTTAACAAGGCACTTGCAGAAGCAGTATTACTAAAACAGGCTTCAATGAGTAGAATCAAGAAAAAGCCCACATGCATCATCTAAATTAGCAGGATACTGTTATCAACAAGACTACCCCTATTCTGCAATCTGCAAAAAAGAGGCCTACATGCAAACAAGTTTTGGAATGAAACACCAAGACCAGCCTAAACATTAAAAATGCTATAAACTATAGCTAAAATAATAAAACTTAAATGTATGATAATTCCTATCATGTTTACTACTGAGGCAAGCAATTCAAATTTCATCACCTTAGGAAAATTAAAAAAGATAGAAATGATTATCAGCTAACCTCGACTTTATCAGGAAATATCTCTAGCAGTGCTTCAGAGTACTCTTCAGTCATCCTCCTTGCTCTATCAACAGTAGCCTTAAGCCTCAGAGCCCAGATATGCTTTCCATCCTCATTGCCTGATCGGATATTTGAAAAAAATCATTAGATAACCGCAACAGTAGTTTGTAAAGACAAACAGCACTCAATAATCATGTAAGTAAGCAAACAAAGATTCATGAAGCGTACCTTCTCTTTCAGAAAGACCTTCTAGGTCCCATGCAAGAATTTCACTTCCTATAGCAACGCATTCTTCCTGTCTCCAACCTGAAAGACCAACCTGGCGGATGCCTACAATAAGGGCACCAAGTGGACTGTGCCAAGAACCGATGTTTCCCGAATTGACATTGTTTTCCAACCAAGATGATCCTCCAATAGCTTCAAGCTCATTAAGAAACCTAGAAAGTAAAAAAGTTTTAAATAAGACCAACAGGAGAATCATAGGGCACAGTAATTAAGAAAAAAGGAGGAAGGTGATTATCTCGGTTTAAGCTTCAGAGGTCAAGATAAAAAATTTCCACAGCTAAATTCACAGACTATGTTTATAATGTATTGAAACATGACGACAAAGAAAATCATCTAAATAATTTTCCTGGCATAAATTTCAATCAAGGGAAACATCAATAAACAATGACATACCAGTGACCATGAAATCTAAAAGAGAGAAATTCTTGATAATTGTAAAACCCGAAAACGACGATCATAGGTCGTCGCACGCATTTCGATGCATCACGACGAAACTTAAGTGAAAATTTAAAGTTAACGAATTTTGACGGAAGTAATTTTATAAAATTCTACGCAAAATTCTGATCAATTTGGTATATGGAACTTGTATCCAATTTCGCTTAAATTAAGAGATAAAAATTATGGAAGTTTCTAAATACCAAAACTACCCCTAATATTATAAATTATAATACGAGAATGTGCATGATAATACGGAGTGCCCAAATGATAAAGGAGCTTGAAAAAACCAAATGGTAAAGGGGCCCGAAAGAGCTAAATGGTAAAGGAGACTCGTTAGAGCCAATGGTAAAGGAATAGCCAAATGATATGAAACTATGCACCTGATCAGTATAGAATTTATGGGCACCTCCGAGACGGATGATATAATAGACATTATGCATAATATGGTTTATATATGTTTTCTACGAAATATGAAAGTTGGTGTTTGAGGAAAAACATTAAGTGAAAGGTTTATGATTGAGGAAAGTTTATGAAAATATTTCTTATAAATAATGTTATGAACTTATGCAGAAGTAGCAGAAACTCGGAGAAATAATGATAATAACACTATGAAGTCATTCGCTTAAATGATAGAAGCAATGACTCAGATGATAAAGACCTCCCAAACTCAGACCAATGCAGTGGAAGTCGTTCTATGGAAAAGAACTTAAAACTATTTCAAGATATGAAACCTCCATTATTTTCAAGTGGCAGACCTATAGAGGCTGAAGATTGGCTGATGCGTATAGAGAAAATTTTGGAAGGCATGTCTTGCCAAGAAGATAGGAGAGTAACACTTGCTGCAGAAAGGTGGTGGCATAGTTAGTTGCAAGAAACTTTTGGAGGGCGGCCTAGTAATCAAGTCTTCTAGAAGGAGTTCGTGAAAGTATTCAGAGGCTAGTATGTACATATGTCAGCTAGGAGACGGATGCAGGATAAATTCAACATATTGGTTCAGAGAAATCGATATGTTTCTCAGTATGAGGTAAAGTTCACAATGTTGTCCAGGTATGCCCCACACCTGAAACCTAATGCTGAAAAGAAATGTTATCGCTTTTTGACTGGATTAAAGGACATAATAAGGCAACCTCTCATTCCTTTTGGAATTGAAGATTATTCCACTTTAGTGGAAAGAGCGAGAATGATTGAGATAGACATGTAGGCAACTCAGAAGATGAGGAATTTTCAGAAAAGGAAGATGGAGGGCAGGTCAAAGCCCTCTCAGTTTTCTCGGTCTTCTCAATCTGGGGTATCTACTTAGAAGAAGCTCAAATCTAGCAATTCTGAAAGCAGTACTTCAACTGCTACTTTATGCAGTAAGTGTGGGAGAATGCATAAGGGAGAGTGCTTCTGTGGCACTAATACTTATTTCAAGTGCCATTAGCCTGGACATATGGTGAAGTCTTGCCCTCTTTTGGGACAGAGATCTGCTAAAGAGGTCAGGTCAGCCAACAATACTCAAAGAACAACTGGTAGACTAATAGCTATGGAGTCTACAGCTTCTGTGCCTTCTCAAGGTCAGACTCGTCAGAATGTTCAGCCTCGAGTCTATGGATTGTCCCAACAAGAAGCTAAGGGGTCTCCTAACGTTGTTACAGGTACATAATTTAATTAATGTCAATGAAAGATTTTATATGAAATGAACGAATAATGAATGATATGTCTTATAAATGAATATTGTGACTTATTTATGATTAGGGACAATCCTTATGTATGATAGACCTGTTAGAGTATTATTTGATACTGGAGCGTCACACTCCTTTATTTTGGAAGAGTTTGTTAGATCTACAAAATTGCTTCCTACAATTATGTTAAAATCATTGCCAGTTCTAATGCCAAATGGAAATAAAATGGAAACAGATAGGAGTTGTCAAGTGAACATGATAATAGGTGATAAAAACTTAGAAGCAGATTTGATTGTTTTGCCATTGTCTGAATTTGATATAATCTTAGGCATACATTGGTTATCTTGTCATTTCGTGACTATAGATTGTAACAAAAAGAAGGTTAAGTTTTGTATGCCAGGGGAGAGGAAATTCAAATTTCAAGGGGATAAAGGAATAACAATTATGATTGTATCATCCCTGAAGGCTTTTCAGATGTTGAATAAAGGATATGAAGGCTTCTTGGCCTATGTTAAGAAAGAGAAGATGGCAGAAAGAGAGCTGAAAGACATCCCTATTATTTAGAAATTCTCATAAATATTTTCAGATGATTTACCTGATTTACCTCTAAATAGAGAAATGTATTTCTCTATTGAATTAGTGGTAGGAGATGAACCTGTTGCTAAGACTCCTTACAGAATGACAATAAAAGAACTTAAGGAATTTAAGGAACAATTGAAATAGTTGCTTGAGAAGGGATTCATTAGGCCTAGTACCATCCCTTAGGGTGCTCCTGTTCTTTTTGTGAAAAAGAAAGATGGAAGCCTAAGGCTCTACATAGATTACAGAGAATTGAACAAATTGACAGTGAAGAATAAGTGTCCTCTCCAAGGGATAGATGATTTGTTTGATCAGTTGGAAGGTGCTTCAGTGTTCTCAAAGATTGATTTAAGGTCAGGGTATCATCAACTTAAGATTAAAGAGGAAGACATTGCAAAGCCGCTTTTAGTACCCAATACAGGCATTATGAGTTTATAGTGATGTCTTTTGGTTTGACAATGCTCCTGCAGTGTTTATGAATCTCATGAATAGAATCTTTAAACCATTTTTAGATCTATCCGTGATAGTACTCATAGATGACATACTTGTTTACTTCCCAGATGAAGAGATGCATGCAAATCACTTAAGGATTGTGTTATAGGCATTGAGAGTAAATGAATTGTATGCTAAGTTCTCCAAATATGAATTTTGTCTTAAGAGAGTAAAATTTTTTGGACATGTGATCACTGATGGGAAGATATCTGTGGATCAGCATAAGGTGCAAGCAATAGCAGATTGACTGAGACCAGCTACAGTGACTGAGGTTAGGAGTTTTTTGGGATTGGCAGGCTACTACAGAAGGTTTGTTTAGAGGTTTTCACAGATAGCCACTATCCAGATTAACTCAGAAAACATTGAAGTTTTAATAGACAGCTAAGTGTGAAGAAGCTTTTCAGAGATTAAAGCAGTGTTTGATAACTACTACAGTGCTGACTATTCCCTCAGGGTCAGATGAATTTCAGCTCTATAATGATGCCTCGCATAAAGGGTTGGATTGTGTACTGATGCAGAATGGAAGAGTCATTGTTTATGCTTCTAGGTAATTGAAGACTCATAAAATGAATAAACCAACCCACAATCTGGAGTTAGCCGCAGTAATTTTTGCTTTAAAGATCTAGAGACATTACTTGTATGGAGTACAGTGCAAAGTTTTTACTGACCATCAGAGTTTGAAGTATATCTTCACCTAGAAGGAACTGAATTTAAGGCAGTGGAGATGGTTAGAACTCATTAAGGATTATGAGTTGGACATTAAGTATCATCCGGGTAAAGCAAATGTAATTGCAGATGCTTTGAGCAGAAAGAATTTTGTTAGTGCAAACTGGATTATTACACAACAGCAAGAATTGATAAGCGAATTGGAGAAATTAGAAATTTCAGTGGTTCAATCCAATAATGCTGAGATTGTAATGTGAAATCAGACTATTATCTAATCAACTTTTCCAGAAAGGGTACGAGAAGCTTTGCCACATGATGCAGATTTTAAGAAGATACTGAATATGGTTAGTGTGGGACACACTGAATATTTTGATCTTTATGGTGAATGGTTACTTCGTTATAAGGGTAGATTATGTATTCCAAATGTTAATGACTTAAGAAAAGAAATCCTTTAAGAAGCTCAATATTCTAGTTACACCATTCATCCAGGCAATAATAAAATGTATCAGGATTTAAAGGAGGTGTTTTGGTGGCCATGAATCAAGAGAAGTGTGGCAGATACTATATCAACGTGTATTTCATGTCAGATGGTGAAAGTCGAATATCAAAAACCAGGAGGATTTTAATAGCCCTTACCTATACCTGAGTGGAAATGAGAAAATATTGTTTATGGATTTTGTGGTTGGTTTACTCAGATCCAAAAGAGGATGTGATGTTTTATGGGTGATAATTAATAGGTTGACTAAGTCTGCACAATTTTTACCTATCAAACAGACTGATCCAGTTAAAAAATTAACAAGCCTGTATGTTGATGAGATTGTCAGATTACATGGGATACCAAAGACTATAATGTCAGATCGGGATGGAAGATTCACCTCCAGATTGTGGAAGAAGGTTCAGGAAGCTATGAGTACCAGGCTTACTTTTAGTACAGCTTTCCACCCTCAAACAGATGGGCAGTCAGAAAGAATCATCAAGACTTTAGAAGATTTTCTCAGGTTTGGTAAAGCAGGAAAGTTGAGCACAAGATTTGTAAGTTTATTTGAGATTTTAGAAAGAATTGGAAAAGTGGCCTATGGGTTGATTCTACCTACACACTTGAGTGGAGTGCATAATGTGTTTCATATTTCCTTTTAAAGGAAATAAATTTTAAATGAAGCCCAAAAGATTAGTACTGAAGTGGTGGATATTCAATCGGATTTGAGCTTTGTGTAAGAACCAGAGAGAATCATTGATTCTGATGTTAAGAAGTTGAGAAGCAGAGCAATCCCTTATATTAAGGTGTTATGGAAGCACAGTTCAGAAAAGAATAT